CTCTCTCTCTCTCTCTCTCTCTCTCTCTCTCTCTCTCTCTCTCTCTCTCTCTCTCTCTCTCTCTCTCTCTCTCTCTCTCTCTCTCTCTCTCTCTCTCTCTCTCTCTCTCTCTCTCTCTCTCTCTCTCTCTCCTCTCTCTCTCTCTCTCTCTCTCTCTCTCTCTCTCTCTCTCTCTCTCTCTCTCTCTCTCTCTCTCTCTCTCTCTCTCTCTCTCTCTCTCTCTCTCTCTCTCTCTCTCTCTCTCTCTCTCTCTCTCTCTCTCCTCTCTCTCTCTCTCTCTCTCTCTCTCTCTCTCTCTCTCTCTCTCTCTCTCTCTCTCTCTCTCTCTCTCTCTCTCTCTCTCTCTCTCTCTCTCTCTCTCTCTCTCTCTCTCTCTCTCCTCTCTCTCTCTCTCTCTCTCTCTCTCTCTCTCTCTCTCTCTCTCTCTCTCTCTCTCTCTCTCTCTCTCTCTCTCTCTCTCTCTCTCTCTCTCTCTCTCTCTCTCTCTCTCTCTCTCTCTCTCTCTCTCTCTCTCTCTCTCTCTCTCTCTCTCTCTCTCTCTCTCTCTCTCTCTCTCTCTCTCTCTCTCTCTCTCTCTCTCTCTCTCTCTCTCTCTCTCTCTCTCTCTCTCTCTCTCTCTCTCTCTCTCTCTCTCTCTCTCTCTCTCTCTCTCTCTCTCTCTCTCTCTCTCTCTCTCTCTCTCTCTCTCTCTCTCTCTCTCTCTCTCTCTCTCTCTCCTCTCTCTCTCTCTCTCTCTCTCTCTCTCTCTCTCTCTCTCTCTCTCTCTCTCTCTCTCTCTCTCTCTCTCTCTCTCTCTCTCTCTCTCTCTCTCTCTCTCTCTCTCTCTCTCTCTCTCTCTCTCTCTCTCTCTCTCTCTCTCTCTCTCTCTCCCTCTCTCTCTCTCTCTCTCTCTCTCTCTCTCTCTCTCTCTCTCTCTCTCTCTCTCCCCTCTCTCTCTCTCTCTCTCTCTCTCTCTCTCTCTCTCTCTCTCTCTCTCTCTCTCTCTCTCTCTCTCTCTCCCTCTCTCTCTCTCTCTCTCTCTCTCTCTCTCTCTCTCTGTGCTTGTCTATACAGAGTACAACATTTAACCCTTCAATATATATGAGCAGTAAATAAGTGTTGCTTTCATATTCTTATGTAGAGTAATGACGATATTTTTCATATGTGCGCACTTACATACGCGCAGTCTCACTTTTTTGTTTTCCCATTAATGGTTTGCTACTTATATTGTTCCATTAAATAACATTACAGGTACTTCAAACAACCATATTAATTTTTTTACATTAATTTTACTACACCTAAAATCAGGGTCTTATTTTCTTCAGTTTTATATGTAGAACCAATCAGTCACTGGTTTTGTAAGCTTTAACATAAACAATGCCGGCAGCCATCTCGTCTCCTCTAATATTCCACATATTATTAATAAATTGTATTGTTAATTTTGCACACACAAACATTAATTCAATAATAACAAATTCAGAAACATTAATTAAAATATATATGAACAGTAAATAAGTGTTGCTTTCATATTCTTATGTAAAGTAATGACGATATGTTTTCACATGTGCGCATGCACACTTACATACGCGATCTCTCTTTTTTCTTTACCATTATCCTTACCCGCTTCTATTGTTCCATTTATTAACATTAAATAACATTACTTAAAACAACCATCTTAATTTTACTACAGCTACAGCCAAGGTCTTATTTTCTTCAGTTTTATATGTAGAACCAGTCAGTCACTGGTTTTGTAATCAACGAAAACAATGCTGTGTCATTTCCTCGTGTGTTTTAATATTCTAAGTATTATTAATGAACTGTATTGCTCATTTTGCACACATAAACATTAATTCAATAAAAAAGACATTCGGTAATAAACAATAATGAATCTTTTGTACATAAGAGAAATGACGCTGTTTACACGATTATGCATGTCGTCTGCACGTTGGCGGGCCGTTCAAACCCGTCGAAATTCAAGTTTCCGCCGTCAAAATTTTTATTTATTTATTTTTTGTGTTCCAATAAAATACGTTAAGAATTAAAAACTCGTGAAATTTGAGAAGCTACTCTACGACATTTAACCCTTCAATATGTTTTCAAAGAGACCATGATGCAGAGAAAGTGGTGCTAGTGCTTCCAAGGGTGAATTTCCATGGTCCGGCAATTTCCATGGTCCGGCACCGGTCAGGTCCCGAGGTTGCCGGACTAGAGAGGTACAACCTGTAATAATGGCAACATGCCATCTCACAGGCCACTTCATCCCCTATATTTTCCCTTACCCTATCTTTCACAGAATTCATAATAGCAATTTTATATTTTGGCATTAAATGATTTGTGGGTAGAAGGGTCCTCGCATAATTGGTGGGACCAGATGCATTCATTATGCATGATAACTTGGCGAGCTTGTAGTTATGTCCTCTAGTGTTGGTGGTGAGTGACTTCACAAAGAAATGTTCCGGGTTCACATTTTCCATCCCGTTCAGGATTTTGAATGTTTCAATGAGATCTGCCCTATTGTGTCTTGTCTGAGGGGTTGTTAGTCCAAAGGCCTTCAGTCTACTTGGATAATCAAGATGACATAGTTCCGGAATTATTTTAGTCGCTCTGTGTTGCACTTTTTCTATGGATGTTAGATCCTTCTGGAGGTTGGGTTTCCATGCCTTTATACAGTAATCCAGACTGGGCCATACCATACTTGAGATTTGTACAATTGAAGGAGTATTTTCCTATCATTGTATTCAAAGGTAGTTTTTATAATTCCCAAGTCTCGATTTGCTTTCCTCACTGCTGCCCCCATTTGTTGTGCCGCCTTCAGTGAATTATCAGTCATAACGTCAAGATCTTTCTTCTTATCGACAGTATCCAGGAGTGCTTAGTTGTGCTTAACCCTTAGTTGTGCTTAAGCCTTAAGCCCCGGGTTAGGGTGCTGCTGGCAATACCCCTACCCCCGGATTAAATTGAGAAAAAATTCAACTTAATAAATAAATAAATAAATAAATAAATAAATAAATAAAAAATGGGGGGGGAAAATAGGCAGACGTTCTGGAACGTCACCCGGGGCTAGCTGGTCGGATGTTCTGGAATGTCACCCTGGGCCTAAGGGTTAAGGTTGCTGTCTCTTATGTGTAAGGTCTTGCATTTTGTAATGAGAGCATTTGCCAGTCTCGAAATCATATGAATAGCTCATTCAGGTCTTCCTGCATTGTTGTGACATTGTCTTGACTTGCTACCTCCCCAGATATCTTCATGTCAGCAAACTTGACAGTGTGGCTCAATATAGTTTCATCTTTGTCATTTAAGTGGATTACAAACAAGGTGGGTCCAAGGATAGAGCCTTGTGGTGCTCCACCAAGAAGTTTTTTCCATTTATAACCACTATTTGTTACTTATCTTTGAGCCAGTTGCTAATCCATGTCAAAATCTTGTCTGTGATGCTATGTGCCTGAATCTTAGAGATATTCATTGTTTTATTCCCATTGCACTTTGAGTCTTGATATTGACACATCTTTTGCTTTGCTGGGCGACTCTCCTTGTTATTACTGCTATTGTATTCTGCTAGACTCCGAGAGATGCTGATGCAGTGATTTTAGGTGTCCTGGCATGGGATCTGTGCTCTCTGATCGACTGATACTTTTCCTTGTAACTTCTATGTACAGGACTCTAACATTGATGGCTGCAAGATCTGAAATGTTGTAAAATACCTGCATTGACCGTCGTTTTGATCCTACTTTTGTAAAGTACCGGTGTGCCATACGATCCAAAGCATCGACACCTTACTGTATTTTGTTGGGTTGTAAAAGCTCACTGTCTTGAGGATATTTTGATTCCTTCCCAATGACAACCACTGAATGTATTATGCTTAGCATAATGATGTTCTTGTTTGGTTCCCTTGTAAATTTTGAGGTTGTAGTTATCATGTTTCCAGATCTTGTTGGGAATTTTTTTTTAGTATGGTTGACTGCACCATTTATACTTTTCTTTGTGTATGCAAGTATCCATTGCTATTCGAAAACCAATTGCTTAGTGAATATTTGTACAGTATATCGAATAACATAACATATGGAAAGAATAGGGTTTGATACCTGAATGAAGACAAAAATTCCCAATATTACTGTATACCTAAAAAAATTAAATAGGATTACAAAAAACTACCTAACTACAAGAAAACCTCAGTATTATACCTAAAAGAATTGAATCAGTTCACAAACAACAAAATACCTGTTTGACTACTGTACAGTACTATAATTTAGTACCAGACACATTAAAAAATGATAGAAAATAAATATGGTACATTACCTTTAGGGACCATCATTCTTATAAATGAGAATAGATTTTTATATACTGTAGTGAGAGAGAGAGAGGAAGAGAGGCTAGAATAGAATATTCATATAAGCGAATATTTTTAAAGCGAATGTTTGTATAGGGAGGGATTCCTGTATTTTGTATAATACTGTACTGTATTAATTTAAATACTTTATAATAAATATGAAATAAAAAAATGAAGAAAAATGATAAATATATTGATTTCATATGGTTGGTCAACATAACCTCTTCTACATTAAGTTTTGAGCCTTTTACGTGGTAACTATAAACACGGTGAATAGATGACAATAGCCAGTGGTCAGAATGACTGCCTTTGCCATTCTAGTGTTAAGTGAAGTTTACTGTGTTGTTGCAGGTGCCTGTCTATAATTCTCTCCTTTGGTAGGAGTTCTAGTCTTAGTCACTCATAGTGGAGTGTCTCCTTAAAAGAACTAATATAACTAATGTACAAGTATAAGGGCATGTTACTTCTTTAATTTTTACCTGACAAAGGAATCAGTAGCTATGCAAAGCTTGATAGTAAAACAAATATTACAAATTAAAAAGTTGTAGACCTTATAATATTTAACAAAATTCTAACAAAGCAACTAACAAATCTTATCACACTGTCACTTAAATATTATTACATATTGATTATTATATGTATTTAAAACTTAGGTATAGCTTCTACATGAATAATGATTGGTCCTCTTTACCAGGAGTTCCATAAGCTATCAGCTAGTTACCCTAGTGAGTCTCCTGAGTATGCTGGCAGTACTTAAGCTCTTTACCAGTAACTCTAAAGAGATTACCAGTAAGTACACTTCTATATACAAGTCTGGCTTGACACATTATAATATGCTTCCTTATCCTCTGCATGTTAATGTAGGTGTATTCTCTGCTTCTTTGCATTATAGTAGAAGTTCAATGCTTATGTGCATGGTAGGGTTTGAGTGCAGTATGTAGGGTACAGTTTATATTTATCACATATTGCATGATAGGATTGAGGAGTTGGACACCTTCCTTCTTTGGAATATACAGTACCTTGCATTTTATTTTTATTACCACTGCAATTGTGATGTTGGATAGTGCCATTGCCCTTATTTATATCCAATCTGATTGACATTGAAGGATTTGGAAGTAGGTTCTTTCAGTACTTGAGTCAGAGTTTTATTTACAGATTATAAAAACAATTTCAAGTAACAAAATATAAATTTATAGAATCAAACATAAATTTTTGAAGGATCAATTCATGAATGGTTTCTGGAGTGGAACCCTTATGTAATGTGAGGGATGCCTCTAAAACTTGACTAAGTCGCTGAAAAGGTTTCACTACTGTAGTATACTGTATTTTTATTCTAGGGATGTAGATGATATGTCCTTTTGTTTAGAATACAGTAGAACGTCCATCTAACACGAGATACGTTCCAAGAGAGGTCGCTTTAAACCGAATTCGCGCTAAATCCAAGTGTTGTTTCAATGGAATAATTTAGTTTGGTGCTTGAGAGAAACACAAAATATTAAAAAGACTGAGTCTACCCAGATGCACCTCAGCCCATCTCCTAGAATAAACAAAACATTGTGTTTTGTAGTATTATGTTAAAATAAACACTCATAAATCAACACAGCTAAAATTATGGGACGTGAAATGGTCTGTGTACTAGCGATCAGCTGATGGGAAGATGTGGGGTCTAGTGCTTATTTATTTATCTGTCCTTAAGAGTAACTAAGTTTTTCTCTTATAAAATGTCACTGAACTGACATGGGAAAATATAATTAACATTGCTGGAATTCTTATAAGATAGTGATTAGTTTGAATATATGCATGCTCTAGTTCGCATTAGACATACAAATTTTAGTTTTAATTAATTTCATACAAAGGGCTAAAATTTTTATCTCTTGTGCAACATTTATGACGTTTATATTCAAATTATTCGCTGTCTTGCAAGGATTCTAACAATGGAAATTATATTCTCCTAACTTTAGTCTGTGATATTATATAAGATAAAAACTGTAAGTCTATAACCACCCAACCTTGGCTGGGAAGATGGGGGGGGGAGGAGGTGATAGTGACATGTTTGACAGTTGGGGCTGAAGGTCTAGTGAGGTATTTATTTGTTTATTTATGTCCTTTAGATTGAGTTTTTGTTTTTTTGCTTATAAAATGTCACAAAAGTGACCGGGGAGAATATAATTTACATTGCTGGAATTCTTATAAGATACGTAGTGATTAATTTGAATATAATCGTGCTATAGTTTGCACTAGAAAAATATTTTAGTAATCATTTAGTACATTATTTTGAGTACATGTACAGTACAGCTTTGCCCTAAGGACAGTGTAGCGTGCCCAGAGAAACATTAGGAGTGAATTTTAAAATATGATGCACCAGATTGACTCGCGCAAAATAGGAAAGATTCGGTTTAAATTAAAACATTGTCCTTAATTGTGGGTGTCACTTTAAATCAAAAATCTTAAATTGAATTGCTTTAAATTGACGTTCTACTGTATTAGTGTTATTAATTTTATCCTACAGTAACATACAGTGGATGCTCTGGGTTGAAACTGTCTCGGCAACTGGAATTGATAAACTATAATTTGCCATGGGTTGCATTGCTGGGATATCTCTTGTCTTGTCAAGGATTTTCATTGGCTAACTCTATTTATTATGGAAAATACTTACATATGAAATGAGATGGCAAAAAGTAAATTTTATATTGGTAATTTATATTTTATTTTTGGTCTTTATTTTTTGTAGGTTGTGAAATAAATTTGGCAAATGCATTTTATTACTGTGTTGTAAGTCCCCCTCAGTACATGCACAGCGTATTTTGTTTATGGTAGAATAAAGGGAGTTGATTTTGGAGTAGGAACCTTGTGTTTACTGAAAGCACTTTTACTTTATGTATACCCAGTCATGAGCATGAACAGTGTGTCTGTAGGTGTTATTGAAGTAGTTAGTTTACACAGTCACTCCATCTCAAATAGAAATGAACAAACATAATTATCATGTGGTCCAAGAAAATGTTGACCATTTTGAAGAGCTACTGCTATGGGGGAACAGTATTTATGGTTCTGTATGAACTTTATTATTCAGAATATGCTATATCTGGTTTGGATGTATGGTTTTAACCCTTTCTCTGCGTCTGTATCGTATACGATATAGTAAATTTTTTCCCAATCAGTGTGGCTGCATCGTATATAATCATGTGTTTTAAAATTGGTGCGTGCGCCTGACAAGCAAGAATGAGACTGTATTATACAGTACATAATTATTTTTCTATCAAGTTGAAATATATATACAGTTGTACCCCACTTAACGCGGTCAATAGAACCCAGAGGGTCCCGCGTTAAGTGAAATCCGCGTTAAGTGAACAACAGAACATATGGGATTAATTCCAATAGAAACCAGCCCGACCCCCAAACTCCACTTTTTGAAGACACATAACTATGTTGTAGTAAAAATAACATCTTAATTTTATGATGGTACATGCACACAATTAATACTTAAGAGAAATAGAGAAATACAGTCGCCAAGTTAATGTCCATTCAAATAATGGACATGACTCCCTCCCCCTCTTCTCACACTACACTGCTGGCTCTTCCCTCTGAGAAATTTTTGGGGGAAAACCAGGTATAGTAATAAATAATACCTCAAACTAAAGTTAGGATAATATAATTGACATTGCTGGATTCCTTGTAAGACCAGGAATATTTTGAATATAAATGTCATATATTTTGCACAAAAGATAACATATTTACTCAGATTAAACATTTTATCTAAAATTTGTATGTCTAATGCAAAATATATGATGTTTATATTCAAAATGATCACCAAATTATAAGAATTCCAGCAATGTAAATTATATTCTGGCCGGGTAATTTGTATGAATTTTATGAGCTAAAACAAATATCTTCAGTTAATAAAAAAAAAAAAATATTCTTCACGACACTATCTGTCAATCAAAGTACCCCACCTTGCCTCCCCCCCTCTTCCAACCGCGCGGTCAGTCCCAACCCTCCCCCCCACCCCCCACCAATCCTCCCTTCAAGAGATGTGGGGTGAAAAAATAAATTTTAACATTTTGTATTAAATAATACCTCAGATTAAAGTTAGGATAATATAATTGACATTGCTGGATTCCTTGTAAGACCAGGAATATTTTGAATATAAATGTCATATATTTTGCACAAAAGATAACATATTTACTCAGAGAAAACATTTTATCTAAAATTTGTATATCTAATGCAAAATATATAATGTTTATATTCAAAATGATCACCAAATTATAAGAATTCCAGCAATGTAAATTATATTCTGGCCGGGTAATTTGTATGAATTTTATGAGCTAAAACAGGCAGTCAGGCAGGGTGGCGGGTGGGGCAAATCTAAAAATAGCGTCTCGAGCCGGACACTCACCGCGTATACGTGGAAAAAATCCGTGTTAAGTGAAAGTTCAGCTCTGGCGAGGCACCGCGTATATGAAAAAACGCGTTAAGTGAAACCCCGTTAGGCGGGGTAATACTGTAGTTGAACTTGGCAAAAAAAATACTTTTTTGTTCAACTCAGAATGCGACACTCAGCATGTTACCTAGGTATGTTAATTCCTAGCTAACTCGCCAGGCCAACATACAGGCAATTAAAATATCTAATAATTACTTAATAAGTAATATTAGGAGGACACGTCGCTACCTGGCATTTAATTGCAATTCTCAAAACCCCCCTTCCTTCATCCCCCATCATACTCATCACAACCTTCATCTTCTTGCCTGGCAATTCATCTGTAAATACACACAAAAGAAGGCTCCGTGAATTTGTGTTGTAATTGCTGAAATACTAAGACCCACGAGGATTTTATATACGGTATTTATACTTATTAGCACAGTGAGGAAGTAGTGACTTTTATTTTGTTTATGTCTCTCAATTATTGTATTTGGGACAATTTCTTATACGATCTCTGGTCAGCATCATGGCGACCACAACATGTCTTCTTTATGAAGTCGCTTAGATCGTTTGTGACTATTTCTTGCCTTTAGTCACTCAGTGAATGTCGCTGCACCCTCCCGGGCTCGTCTTCACTGAAAGAAAATATGTGGATATATATGTTTATATATACATATATATGTATACTGTTTACGGTTTTCTTTGTTCCAATTATTCACGTGCTAGTATGAATGCCTGTGACTATCTCTCTTTCTACTCTTATGTTCGTTCACAAAAAACCTTTGGGCTTCCGCCCTCGGTTTTCTAATTGCTCTCAGCATAAAGGCCAGAGTTGAGTTTTCTCTTCATAACTTTATTTTATTGATGTCCTCAGTAGCGGGTTCAGCCTTTCCCGGCGAACTTTAGCAAGGCTGCGAGACTGAGCGTTCCTTCCGGAATGCTGACCTCCCGGTCTTCCTAGCAATCTAGAGTTATGTTGAAATGGACTTTACATCCTTATATGGGTTATTTGAGAACAATTCAGGGTGGAATTCTCAATCCAATAAATATTGCTAGAGTAATAGTGAACGCTGTTGCCAATAGAGCGCTATGTTAGCGGCTCAGCACTGTCAACCCTGCCGGGTGATAGTACGCACGTAGGCATTTTCGCTTGAGTTATTACTTGGGGGATAATGTCTGTGCCCCTGATTGGCAACAAATAGAGATCTTGATGATCTCTCTCCATAAAATGTTCTAAATGAAATAAGTTATGTAAAAATAATTTCCTTGAGCTAAGGGATACTTGAAATAAGAGTGGGAAGACGGATACGACTAGTGAGTTAATTGTTTATAATTGTCAAACGAGTGACTTATATAACAATAAGAAATCTTA